CTGTGGTGTTGTCGTCGGCGGTCGTGGTGACGTGGGTGGCAGGCTCCAGAAGGGCAGTTGTCCGGCAAGTAGGTGCATATTCAACAGGGAATTCTTTACCAGACTGTTCATGGTGAAGTCGTCTTCGTTAGTCTCGGAGTTCGTATCCATTGTAATTGTTGGGGGGATCATAAGACTGGGAGGGAAGTATGCTGCTGCCTGATTCAGGTAGGCGCGTTGTTGTACCATTGAGAGCAGGGCTTCGGGAGGCTTCAAAGTCACGGCAGCGGAGGCTGCGAAAGGGAAGGACAGTTTTCCACTGGCCTGGAGGTTCTTCATCCAGTCAAGCCAGTCAGCAGTCGGCGGTGGGAGACCGGTCGTCAACAGAGCAGACTGTCCGAGACCAGCCTGTCCAACAGTTGTGGCGGTGGCGGCGGCGACAGTAGTAGAAGCGATGGTATTTCGGAGGAAGTCAAAGGCAGCAGATGAATCGGGCTGGGAGGTGCTCTCCGCGAAACTTACACATGGGGAGAATTGTTGTGCGGTAACGGAGAATTCAATGTCATTCGGGCGAGACATGCTGCTGCAAGTAATTAAAATAAGCATTAAAGCATATTCACAGTCAACCATCTTTTTAAAATAAATTACTTCATTTAAATTTAAATCTCCCTCCACAACGCAGTAGAGAACATGCCGGAACGGTGGGTATGTCTCGCGGTATCGCAGGGCACACACTAGAACGCAAGACCGCAGCGCTATTTGCTACCGTTGGCATAATTCTGACGCTGTAGTTAGCTAACCCCACATCTTTTAACAGGCATCTCATTCATGCACATCAGTAGCACTCACAACTCAAGGAAGTCTGAGAATGCACAGGTTACGTTGCTTCGAATGTACCAAATTAGGGCTTAGAGTCAAGCATCAGGTGCCACAGTGAGGCTTCTTGGTCCCTTTTTACGTTAAAAGCCACTGATTTTAGTGTGTGTATGCGTGTGACCGTACATATGCTTGCCAGCGCAAAAAGTGAAATTAAAATCTCAATGCCATTCAGACGAAAAATATCACCATCGCTAAGAACTTTGCCAACCACTAAGTACTATCATGCGTAAGGGTAGACTATTCTCATTTCAATAGATACGCCACCAGGATAGGAATAGGGCGGTCATAAGAAACTGTTCAACTGACGGCTTCGATTAGAAACGTGTCGCTTTTTCGTCCCAAGATCTTTGGCGCACGCAATCAAAACGGTAATCCCCGGGGTAAACAGTTCAATTCCCGACTAGCTTAGGCAAATCTTCCTCGGGGAGATAAAGAAGGTGCCTGGAGGGCCGACAACATCGCAAAAATTTCTGGTCATGCCTTTGTTGCTTAAAACATTGACTTGTCTTCACACAGTAGCGCACACTGTTACTGGACCCATTGGCGTTTCTTGAGCTTGAGTGACGTTTCGAACACATGGAGCTTTCTAACTGCTTGAATACAGCAGTTGGTATCTGCATCATCTTTTTACGGTTTAATGCAACTGTTACTCCCCATGGGATTATTAATTAAGCGTTATCAACCAAATTAGCCTGGAAAACTTAGCAAATTTTCGCGTCCTTTGAACATTATAGGCACTTTTTGTCAGTAAATACCTAAAGGTGTGGGAATACCGGTGGTCTGTGAGTTTTTTTTGCCTCGCTTGCCGTTTCTAGCCCCAAATAAATAATGATCCGCTCTCAGTATCTCATTCGTTGCCCTAGCTCCGGTGCTGGAGATATAAGTAATGTTTAAGGGAATCGCCGAGAAAGCACTTTTGGAATACACTGAGCCGTCTTCACGCATAACCCCTTAGGCTTTTCTTCCGCAAGGGTTACGCGTCTGAACGCATTTTGAGCCGTGAGCAACAGCCATTCCGATGTAGAGCGAACCCTTTGGCGCACCCCTTTAAAATATTTTTGACGGTCGCAATTACTTATGCGCTTCCCCTCTTCCCGCTATAACACGGTAATAGGAACGCCGTACCGCAGGTTAACTTGACCTAAACAACGGAAAGATTAAATAGGTTCGTGTTCTAAAAATAGTTCGACCCTTAACTGTGACCCTGATCCTAACCCTGACTTTCGTCCTAATTCGCCTGGAAAGAAGCACAAGGCTATTAATCGTACGGATGGTTCCTGTTTCCATATCCTGTCAACGGGGCTATTTATTGCTTTCTACTTACCTAAAGGCCAAAAGTGTTTTCAAAAACTATTTCTATTACAGCACTGGTTGTCGGATAAGTTTCGAAATAGTTTAAATTTTATCAAATTGCTAAGTTCTTTCGTTCAGCCGAACCAGTCCAGAGGACTGCTTACGCATTAGGCCAAAATACTGTTCAGTGCCAATTGCGACCCCAACTCCAATGAAATTGATGAAAGTAATTTTACACTAAAAGGCCACAGTATCCTTGAACGTAGTTATTTGTCCTGAGAGAGCATGACACATGTATACCTGTTCATCGCTCTATTTTTGTCCTTTCACTACAAAAATCGTCCCCAGTCTGTTTCGCATGACAAACATTCTCTACGCCACAGTTTTTATACAGCAAATCCTATCTTCATGCAACCTGCTACACGCAAGGAAAAGAGAACTTGTAGTTTTGAACGGAAAAGTACCTTAAGCAATTTCCCTGTAATCTCTATTGATTATAATGTCTGTTTTTCTGCCATTTGCTACGTGTTATTACAGGATTTCCGACGCGATGAGACTTAAAATCGGTTGCTCTAGCAAGTAAACCAACGTCACACGCACATATTTCACTGCGAGCTAATCAGCTGTAATCGTTCCTGGTAGGAGACAAGTCAGTTTATTCACACCTATTGGGCTGTATTATGAGACTTGTTAGAAGGTCTTAAAAGAAACCAGTAACAATTATGTAGCTGAATTGGGACGTATGAACAGCACATGGTCTGAAAAATGTGAGAACATATGCAAATATAAAAGAAATTCTAGAATTATTGCACAGCATATTTTGTGGTTCCGAAGAGCCTGGCCACACAAAACTACATTCCGTGCAAAATTTTTACTGGAAATGAACTTTTCTCCAATTATCTCCGGAATGGGCAGTTGAATTTTGGTAACCGGTAGCAACGGACCATAAATATCAGATCATTCTAAAACCCACCGCATGTCATAACTATATGAGCTAGTACAGGACCCAGATGGAAGATTTAGGCATCGGCTTTTAACTATGTCTCACGCTTAAGGTGTATTCTAAGATCTATTAAATATACTTTCCCGCAAAGGCATCTATACGGATCCCGGTCAACAATGCTTAGGCCTTGGAGCAGACATCTGATTAAAAGGCACATAAAATATTCTTCTATTTCTAGAGGAAATGCTACCTAACTAATGCTGAGAAAATATTAGAACGTGACTTTAACTGGGCTGCGCCTAACAGTTATTATATAAATATATGCAGCTGGAAACGCATAGGAAGAAAATATTAGTTTAGTTTTCATATCCTGATGAATATAACTTTCACATTAAAAAACGGACCTTCTTGTTAACGCGGAGACACATAACTTGTCAACACCATGGTATGTAATGTAACAGATCATTCTACATTCCAAATCATGCAGTAATTAAAAACAGAATTCCTTTGCTTACCCTTATAGTTACAAGAAAAGGAATGGTTAATCACACCTCAATGGACACTTACATGATTTGCTAACTTCAATGGTGGGAGCAGAGGCCAAGGAGGAGGGAAAAATTAAAGTGAATCGTTGTTTCTGTCTGGTCTTGTAGTTTGTCGCAGCAACGGTTTATAGCCAATTACTTTCACCGGAACAGGGGGAGACCGCTGTCTGTGTGATTTTTAGCCATTAAAAATGCAGCAATAGCTCTCCTCTCCCGCTCGCACGTCGCGCC